CGGCTACATGAGTTTTAAAATATCGGCCAAAATCCCAATATCGTGCATCCCTAGACCCCTGCTGTAAATGTTCCTGAATGAAACTTGATTTGTAACACGCACCAATGAATGTTTTTGGATCGAATCTGGTGAATTGAAAAGAAAACTTTTTTTTGTTTGTCCTGCAGGCGTTCATCCGGCGCTGTCTGGCCTATCGTAAGGAGGACCGCTTCGACGTTCACCAGCTGTGCTCAGACTCATACCTCCTCCCTCACATGAGACGCTCTAACTCCTCGGGCTCGCTGCAGTCCTCCGCCTCAACCGTTCCCACCTACTGACTTAACGAAGCGACGGGGCCCTCAGGTCCATCTTAACGGCATTGGAGGATAATAAATGTGCAACTCTTTTTCTTTTTTCTTTTTTTTTTTTGCCAGAGATGTTTCAAGATTAGATAGTTTAGCAAAAAAAAGTAAAATGGAAAATGAAAGGATATTTTTGCCTTCTGCCAAAATAAACAAAAAAAAAAAAAAGTTGCTCTTGAACTCTATTGTGACACAGAGAGAAGAGGCAGACTACAGAAAAAGGCTGAAAAGAAGGAAAATGGAGATGAGAATTGCAGAACAGAGTGCACCAAGTTTTTCTGCTTTAACCCTTAGAAAATATGACCCCGCCCCCCGCGCCATCCTCTAGTTGCACTCTCCCAAATCCACTCTGCATTCATCTCTACATACTCGCATAGTAATATACTTAACCAGAAGACTATAACGCAAAGCCTTTGTGAGCAGCAGTAGGTGTGGAAATGCTCCCTTCATTTCACGGACGCACGAGGAATCACCGAATCTCATCAGACTTCCTCTGAACAGCAACCTGGACTCATTTTAAGTGACGCTGTAACTTTGATGGGATTGAATTTGCACTTCCAGCCAAGGTCTCCAAGCGGATTTGCTTATCTGTCTTAAATATTTTATTTTCTTGTTGCTCAGGCAAAAAATCCGAATGTCTGAGAGCAAGGTGTTGCAATACGACGCCACGCCGGCGTTTCTGCAGACGGAGGCTGCCGTCAGGACGCAGAGGTCATTGTACATTTCATGTTCAGGAGGCGTTACTCACTATAGCAGATATATTCTAACAAGGCTTCTCCTCGCTTCCTTAGTGTCCCCAGTCTGTTTATTTCCTCTCTAAAGCTGTTCTCAGTTCGCTGCTATAACTGTTGCTTTTAGTTTGTTTTAACACGTGAATGAATTTCTCCTTGCATCCATGCATACTTGAACATTAAGAGGAAATTTCCAGAGCCTGTGTTGTTTTGAAGGAGTGCCAGATTATTTTTTTTTTCCTTTTCCTCTTCTACGGCCAACATCAAATGTCTCCTCAGATTTCTGTTTGCTTAATGGCTTAGAAGACCTAGTGTGCTGTGGCGTGAGGAATATTCCCACCTGTCAACATCAGAGGATGGGGAGAAAAGTTACTAACTTCAGCGGGAAAAACAAATGGATGTATCCAAAATGTTGTCATGGTGTAAATAAAGAACTCTTACCTGTACGGTGATGTGATTTAATGAATGAAATGGAGGTTTGGTGCTGCCTTAAAGCATGTTTTAAGTGTTTCGCTACTTCACTGAGAAATGTTAAAAAGTCAGGTGAGGTGTAAAAGTAATGACTAACCTACAGATGTTTTACTTTTTCTCTCAAATCAGGGAAACAAAACCAGAATAACTCCATTTATTATAGAGAAAAGTTATTCCAAACACCAGACTTTGACTAGGCCAGTACAAAACCTTCATGTCACGTTTTTAACCTTTTTTTTTTCTTCTGTTTGTAACCTTTTTCCAGCATTTCAACACTAACTCTACCACCCTATTCAGGGTGTGACCCACCACATCAATTTCCTGCCCTTTAATCCTTTTACCTCCTAATTAATTACAGGAAGTCAGACTTAAACTAGTTCAACTCATCAATGAGTCGTAGTTAATTAAAGCGTCTTTACATTTGTAGTGTTTATGTTTCTTGTGTTTATGTTTCGCTCTGGACTAGTTTTCCTTAAATGTTTCGACTTGTAGGTATAATTTTTCCTAAGTGAGCATTTCGGTTAATTTCGCAGCAAACAGATTGAGCAGTAAAGTGGTGAAACCGGAAGAACCTGAGAGTTATCTGCTGCAACGCGGGTGTCGGCACCGATGGCCCAATGAAGGGAAGAGACAGCTAAGCAGAAATATGAAGTACAAACCTTTGACTACTACATGCATGTCTGATTCCATCAGCTGCCATAATGGCTTCGGATTTTCTGGAAAGACTTCCTGAACAATCTTCCAGAAACACCCATGTGAGAACAGATGATGCTGGAGTCTAGCGGTGTGTTATATACCCGTGTCACTACTCTGCATCGTTCCTTTTATCAAAAAGCTTGGATGTAGCTGCTTGGTTGTGGAAACAGCTTTTCCAGAAGCTCTGTGTTCTGGGGCTGCTCTGAAGGCCACAGGAAGTTTGGAGGACTGTCACTGTCCACCCCAGCATCTACAGACCGCGCTCTGATTTTATACATCACACTTCATGGGTTCAGCCTTTTAAAGTGAAGAATCTATAACAGCTTGTTTTCTTTGTGACTCAGGGCTTTTTATTTATTTTTTTATTCTTGTTTGACCCTAAAATTTAAATTATGGTTGAAAAAGGGTCTTAGGGTCTGACTTCTTGACCAAAGGAAAATATACAGTTATTAGAAACTTGGGTGTTTCATAGATTGTAAAATGGGGAGAATCAGTTCTGAACCAAAATAAATCTTGTTAGAGCAAAAGATTTTAAGCAGTAAATTTGCCCAATCTTTTGATAGATTTTTTCAATCCCAAACTACGACAGGAGCAGATGAAGACAAAACATTTGACTTTAGCATAACTTTACTGTTTATGTTGTATAGAGTTCAATAAATATGGAATAATTCTCTTTATGGCCTTTTGGGGGCACTGCAGACTTTTTTTTTATAAGTTTCATTTCAATAAAAAAAATGGACTTTACTAGGTTAAAGTTATGAATAAATCCTTAATAGATGAAATGAAGTAGAATAAGAACCATCGAACAGGAAGCCAGATACAGAGGCCTTTAGTACTTCGTACAGCCTTCCCAGGTTGTTTTCTGAGACCTACTTTGCAGATCTTTCCCTCATCATCCATATAAAAATAAAATAGAGCACTAATTTCCAGGATAATAATCCTTCCTTGGATGTGAAAAAAGTGATTCCTTAGGGGAAATGAACCAAGGGGCACTATAAAAAAAAAAAAAAAAAGAGTTTAAGATAAATTTGGTTTCATTCAAGACTTTCTAAAAGCCTATATTAATATTTTAGAGCTTTTAAATCTAGAAATGATGCAGTTTAGAGGATTAAAACCTTTAGATTTTTGTATAAATCTGATCAGAAACTCCTGCAGGGTTCAGTTTCTGAATGTTATAAATGTAATTTCCCCATTTATCCTTTTTGTTTTTCTTAGCTGATATTTGTAGATGTTAAATACCTTAAGTCTAAAACCGTACACATGATTACGATTTTTTTCTAGCCTATGCCAAAAACAGAAAGCATCACAGAATGGCAGAAACATTGTGGAGAGCACACAGACACAGGGAGACTTGATAAAACTCATTTGGCTTTATTGCTTGCACTGTGCATCCTGCAGATGTGTTTTTATTTTAAACAGAGACCTTTTGTGGCTGTACTGCAGCTGTGACCCTACCAAGCAGGACTACCAAACATCTCCTCTCTGGGCTCAGAAGCTCAAGTAGACGAGAACCTGGGCCTCCAATGGTATGACCTTCACCCTATCACTGACATACTGTGCATCACTGAGCTCTGCATTAACATGGAGATGTACGAAGGGAATAATCATTTCAAAAAAACAAAAAGGTGGTGCAAAATAATGCAGATTCATTCAGGGGAACTTCAAAATTAACTACACATTAATTCAATCTTTCTAATAATGTGGAAGGGGTCTGTTAGTTAATAAAAGGGTTACAGAAAGGAGCTGGACAAAATCTACTTTGTTTAGAGGGACGTATATATTTTTAATACAGCAGTGATGGAGTTTATGTTGCCTCACCATTTAAAAATCTGTCCTTATCCAGCTCCAGTAACATACAAAGGTTATATAGGTTTTTAAAAAGAGGGAAACATGACCTGGTGACTGCAGAAGTGTGAAGCAGTGCTGCTCTTACAGTAGATTTGACAAGCTGCAGTGCTACCAGTTCTCCTTACAGCAACACGGACTGATCTAGAACCAACGTCCGTCTCTTTATTTCCACTCTAACCAGGCTCTCAGCTGGAAAAATGTCTGCGTTGGTGCATCTGTTGCCTGCTCTCTCCTGGCCAAATAAATAGAAAACCACTGAAAGACAGATGGGAGGAAAAAAAGAGTGGGAAACCAGGTGTGTTACAGTTTAATGGCCACATTACGATGGCGTTAGTGTCGTATCCGTAGGGGCTGGAGATTCTGTCGCCTTTGTGGAGTCTGGCTCTGTGGTGGCTGCGGAGTTGGGCGACGAGGCCAGCGTGACGGAAGCTATGGGGGCGGTGGTGCCAGAGGCCGGGATGAGGGGGGCGGCGGTCTGAGACAGCAGAGGAGGCGTGGGAAGCAGCGGGGGGAACTGGCCCAGAGCTGGTAGGGACAGGGGCGGCAGCTGAGCCAGAGAGGGGACTGCAAAGACACATTTATTAGTCCAATTTCATTTTCTTAAGAACACAGATCCTGCTGAACGTTCACACTTATTCACCTGTGGTTCCTGGTGGTATGGAGCTGGGGCCTGACAGAGACACGGCACTGAGGTCTGGGAGGGGCAGGTTCAGGTTGGGAAGGTTGGGGAGTGGCGGTAATCCTCCTGGGAGAGGCATTAGACCTGAAAACGGACGCAAACCAACATTCCTCGTTATTAAAGACACACAGGAGAGACTTCAATCAAAAAGGTGAAAAGGTCAGTGTCTTTGCTCGCCAGAGGTAAGCTGCCCTAAGAAATAAGGAGATCAGTAAAGCACAGTTTTAAAAGAATGCAGTTTGCTAAACGTATTCTTAAAAAGAAAAAATATGAAAATAATCTGAGAAACCAAAAAGATAAAAAGCATAAAAAATATGAAAAGAATTTTTTTTTCATAGGAAGTTTCATTTCTGGATTCCC